ACAGAAATCTTCATACTCACCGCTGTGAAAACATCAAATCATAGAAGAAGAAGTCTGTCTGGAACTGCAAGACAGAATGTACGAGGACATTGAAGAAAATTTCTTAACGAGGACCTTTGTAAGCATCCAGAATTCCTCGTTTCCCAGTTCTGTTAGATGTTTTCTAGGACTCCTTGATCGTTAACAAGCTCGCTGGAATGCTTCTGTCTCGAGCTGCATCCGAATTCACGATTCGTGTCCCGACCAGTTAAAACCCACGCCTTAGACCCGTCGGCCACTGTGATAGGGTCTAATTTGTATCCTTAGCCAAATAGTATTATGATATCGATCGTATCAAGGACAGTGGTATGGGACACGCGAAATGTATACGGAATACTAGCCTCCAAAAATTTGGAGTGAAGACCTCTTAGAACACCTAATCGTAGACTGGAGGATAATGTTAAAAACGTTTCTCAAGTAAATTTAGCGTGCTCGATTGTCTGAGCGAACTTTGTCTACTCAAGACGGTCTGTGCTTCATGGAGTTATATAAAGGCCGTTGCTACTCACCCCTATGAGTAGTTGTCGGTCGATCCTAACGTATCCTCCAAGTGATATGATTGGCGGCTGCGCAGTAATCGTCTGCAGAAAGGCATTTACCTGCAAAAAGCGTTTATCGTGACATCTACAATCGCAACCTTGATATAGCTTAGAGTTACAAGATGTTAACTTATGTACTTAATAAATGGATTGCATTCATTGCAACTTTTCGAAATCATTTTCTTTTGTAAAATCTCACATAAAATCAATCACTGGACTGAAGTAAATTCTTTCTATCTGGCCCAACTGAGTAAGTGCACCTCCCCACCTTTTAACGTGAAGATGGAAGCAAATCGAGCTTTCGAAAAGTAGTGTTCTTTTTATAAACTAGAGCAGTTAATTGAGGCACTTAAACGGTCGTTTGAATCCCACTTCTGATTTATCAAATATCCTAATTTGAGATACTTCAAGCTACATTAGCATTAACTTTGTCATTACTGCACATAATGTCAGACAAAATTACATTTTTAAATATCAGGTACTCATGCCACCTTATTGGAGAAAAAATGTAATGAGCGTTTTGTGTCTAGTAGGGCCTAAATATCTTAAGGACTTCGGGGCCTATTTTATAACAAACAATTTGTGCAATGTTTCGAGCGATGAAACTAGTATGATGTAGGGCTAGCACAGACCACACGCAATGAGGTATTTCGTTATAAAAATTCTGGCAAAAAATCTAGAGGGATATAAACCATTACAAAAATTCATAATAATTTTTATTTCTAAGGTTATACGTAGTTATTTTGTATGTCCTTACTTTTTTATTTTACTGTCTTTTCTCGGCTCTCGAAAGGGTCTGAATTCGTGCTTACTTCGCTTACAAATTTCAAAACGTAAACCCGTAATTTAAATAAGACATTTTTTAATTATCTGTTTCGCTTCAACTTTACCAAGATACACACTAAAAACTTTTATACGTTTTAAGATTTTTGTCATAATCAGTAAAACACAAAATAAACTATTAATGACCTGAATTCATTATGAAGTTCAAGAAATATACGCAACATTCAGAAGTTAAATCAAAGTTATATACAGAATATAACATGTAAAAGGCAACGAAACAACAATTAACTGCTTTGTTATAAATTTTAAATCAGAAACAAATGTACCGCCGTGTTGATAGACTAACTAAAACTCCCCCATGTTACTACAGTCAAGGCCGCTTTGGTTCCTAGGCTACTGCTGACGCCAGTTGCCCGAAGTTTTCATTAACTAGTTAGAAACGTTTATTTTTATAAAGACTGAACTTGTACAAGTGTGAACACAAAGAGCGGTACTTACTTTGTTGCATATTGCTTCAAAATCAATACCTGTTTCTAGTATACTTCAAAGCTTTATAAGTGCCCTAATCTTTAACCATGTCGTCGTTTTAAATTTAACATAACATTTCTTTCAGTTTGATAAAATGTTATCGAAGTTTACGTTCAGCAAGACATCCTTTCGCCCAAATGCAATAAGTGAATACCATTCAAACGGGACGAGACATACTTCCAAATGACTGCGATGGAACACAAAATAAAGAATTGAAAATGGCTGTCATTCTGTTTTTTGCCTGAAATAAATTGTTTTGGAATAAATTACAATGTAAAATAACTCAAAATACAATGAAGAAAAATTCAACATGGACTTTTATTAGTCGATTTTGGCAGCACTGCATGATTTTTTCCTACGTGATATAATTGTCTGAAAACTTCTACAAACCTCGCGATGAACATCATTGTGATCTGTGCCAATTTGATATCTCAGCAACTTCTGCTGGAACTCCACTTGTGTCTGCGAAGTACAATGAACAAATATATTAAACATAAGTTTCCAAGGAACAGATTTATATATTTCTGTAAGAGGAAGAAACATTATCATTTGGGCAGTGAGTATATAACGCTAGGTTCTCTGGCTCTCGTTACAAGAGTGTTGTAAAAATTAGTCATAAGTAAAACACGAGTACATCCTGTAGCAGACATAAAGGAAAATCTTAATATAAACATATACAATTCCTATATATGCACGATACTAAATGTTAAAGGGACAACGTTCAAAGGAATAGATATAATAAATCTTTTAATATATAAAGTACAGTTATTATTGTCATTATTATTTGGCCTTTGGTCTGTTAAGTTGTCACACAAATAAATAAATAATTGAATTGATCATAATCGACACTTATATTTCAGGCATGCATTAATGCGTTTCCACAAATTTGTACACACAATTCATAATTATGGCCTATTTCTTATGGTCATTTGCTATACAGAAGGGGAATTGAAATTGGAAGTTGGAAATGCAATTATAAAACAACATGTTTAAAGAAATCTTTGGATGTAACTGGTATGGCGAAAATTAAATATTGGTAAACCAAACAAGTTATTTTTTCTACTTAATATTATTAGGAACTTCAAGCAAGGAAGAAGATCCATATTCATACCCAAAATAAAAATTCAGGAAAATTTTCAAATTAAAAGTGGTTAAGCATATTTCTTTATGATTCATCTACAGTAATGGCAATTAGAGAGTGTATGTTTGTGTACAAAAGAATCATGTGTTTATTTGTTGGAATCTGCCGTCGTAAGCCAACAAAATGTATAATGAAGCTTATGTAAACCTGAATACGATACAAATTTGATGCATACTTTTTATTATTATCAAGCAGTTTAAAACAAATTATTACAGTTAATCTTATTTAAAATGTTTTAAATTCGCATTATCTGGGGGAACACCGTTACTAATCTTGAAAATCATCAGACACTTTTTATATTTCCATTACAGTAATTAATGGCAATGTTACCCCATACATCTAAAGGTAAAGTGCGCACTTTTTAGTATAAATTGCTCACGTTCGTTGAATTCGATCATCATTACATTTACAAACGTGGAAATCCGTATTAATGTATTCGTTTATTGGTCAGTTTAATGAGAACGAATTGGTCTATGCCTATGCCCAACAGGAACGCATTACTGCTAACACACACACACAAATCTCTAGTATCCATATTATTCATCGATGTGTACGGTGAGACAGTAATATAAGAATAAATGGCCACCTAGATCACCAAACCTCACCTGGTTTTCATCTCTGGGGAACAACGAAAGTACGGAACACAAAGACAATTATCACAAAAAGTTTAATATTTTACTGAAACTATCCCTTGAATTCAATTGACGCGTGTCTTTGACAACTACATGCATAAAATTACATGTCTGCAAGTTAACGAGAAACGTTCCCAAAATTTAACATAATTTATGCAAGTAAAATCTCTTTCCGTGCTTAAGCACCAAGCCCTGAACATACACGAATAAGTGGAGATAAAGTTTCACGCATCCTTAAGATCGGTAGCAAATGGGACTGGGTTGTCAGCTGCACGCTCCGAGGGCTTTATCACCGGAAAATTTGGAGTTCCCATTATACAGTTGAAGGGGTGGGTCCCGGGCTCTTTTGGATGCGGTGTGGAAAAGAAAGTCAACTTCGTTAAGTACAAAGTTACGAATATTTTAAGATCAATTATTCACAGACATATTACATGTACTGTAATCATTCTTTAGTTATGTTGAGTATACTACATGCAGAAATGGATGTTGCATTTCAAAGTAACTTTAAATTCTTACATGATTTAAAACAGTCTACACTGTTATAAATTACGTCTGCACTAACTTTAAGCACCACTTCATTGGCTCCCTCACACATGGTGAAGATCATGAATCCTGAAATGAAGACACAGGTCGCCACCAGTATATTGTTCCCGAAGGTCCCAACGATGATATCTGACAGAGTGGCGTACGTTGAGAGAGTTAGCATAAAGAAGAGATGTAGCAGATAAAAACCGTACGTATAACAGAAGGCGACTCCAGCGTCAGTGGCTAGGTGACTGAGTTCGAGCCATAGCGTTCTATAAGTTTCCAGCACTGCGGCTTTCGTGGAACTCTTGTCCAGAGTCTGAAAACGCAGAAAATGTAATTAGTAAACACACTCATTGGCAAGCTCTACACTGAACACAAGAGTTGGTGCTATTTAATAATTGTGTGCTCATGAAGTGTGCTACACTTATATACAAGTCAACAGCTTCATTGCCAGCCACTTCCGACAGGACTGCATTCTATTACATTGCCTAAAATACTGAAGAAACACTGTTTACCTTATTCTGGGTTGTGACGCTGTATAATCTTTTAGATGGTTGCCAACGTTTCGGTTCGATCTATTTCCTGAATAGCACAACCCACATTCACATATTTGTCAAAACACGTAGGCTTCACAACGAACGCCTCTCTGTCGTAGTTGAAGTGACTAATGGCCTAACTTTACCGCGTTCTCGAGACCGAACAGCGTATTAATTGTTGCTTGTCCTTTCAGTTATTGGATGTTGCGGGCATGCTTGGGTCACATTGAACGGACACAAAGGTAAAAATGTTTTAACCTTTCACAGACTAATTGTAACTATATGTACCATCTCTTTAACAATCTAATAACTCTGCATTTTGCCCACAGAATGCATTTACGTATATGCGTCCTATGATCATTTTCTTAATCCAATTCAAATTCATCATTGACGTTTGTAATAGAGGCGTGCTGTGTCTTCTTTGCTGTACGAACTAACTTTTTAAATGTTATTTTGCGCTCGGACGCAGTAAGAACCCGCTCAACTTCTCTTATTGCTCCATTTTTCATCCCACTCCTGCTAATTCGAAATGCCTTACCTTTACTAAACCTGCCTCTACAAGAAGGACGAGAGGGCACTGCCCGGGGACTTTACGGCAGAAAAACAAAATTTATGATCCCCCCCCCCAGGTAAAACAGCGATGCCTGTCGCTATTTTTACTTCTCTCACTCTTTTATTCAGGCTTCAGAGGGTTAATATACAGATTTCGTTGCCTGTTTCGGAGTACTGTCCAGAGTCTGATTTGTTCTTAGGAATTTTAACGACAAATCTAGAATGTCAACGTTATACATACTGTACCACAGCCTAAAATCCAGCATTGCCATCAAGAATTTGTCACACACCTCAACATTTCAAAACCCAATGTTGCCTATATGCATAACAGGTTTTAACAATTTCTAGCTCTGCATTACACCCACGAGGATTCTAGTTTTCCTAAACAGCATTAACTAATCTTTGTAATGCATAAGCGTTGTCTTTTAGCAGACACGAAATTTATTCCTAAGTATTATTCGTATAATCTTCGGTCTTCAAAAAGTTAACACTATGAGCATTAGAGGTAAATAAATATGCAAGCCTACATCGTATCGCAGTGTCTCACCTTCACATAACCTACAATGCTTACGGAGAGCATCTTATAACATATAGACATCAAAAATGATCAATGGAATTTAGAGTGCGAGAATAATATAATGTGTTGGTACTTGCGCTGTTCAGTATTCCAAGATATCGACCTCACAGCTCATAATTCCGTTTCTGAACAAGAAAACACAGGGGCTCCAGTTTAAATATCAATACTAGCTTACTACTGCTTCCACGGTTATCTAGCGGTCAGAACGCTAGCCTTGTAATCCTGGGGTCCCGGGTTCAATTCCCGTTGGTGTTCAGATTTATAACTTGTGTTGGGCAAGGCCGTGGTCTAGGCATCACGGAGTTTTCCTCCCGGGGCTTCCCCGGTTTCTCCGTGGCATCCCAACAATTACTCCACTCATACTCACACAGAAGAAGGCAATGGCAAGAATGTATATATGTATTAACAGGTCCCTGACAGCCTGAAGAGGATGGAAGGATCCTGTTCATAATATATGGACCTGTCGTCAGACAGAACACTAATACTAATAATAAACTATCTTACTGCTGGCCGGTTGCAGTGTTATTGAATTAGTCAACACATTATTAGAAACAACAGTAACACTTACTAAAGCCAGACACATTTATTAACAAGTAATTTGCCAAGTCCCAGTGACAAGGAATAAGTCCTAACAGTCCAGGAAATAAAAATAATTTTCGGAAAATTGTAACAAATTTTGTTTATTTGTTTCATATATATATATATATTTGTATGTGTGTGTGTGAGATCGTACAATTCACACGTGTATAAAGTAGCAATAATTTCGTTTGCAATTTTTGGACTTTACCGTGTAACCGATGAATTATCACCAAATTTACACGCGTAACAATTGTTTGTTAGTATGTGATAAGGGGACTTTTCAATTCTTGCATCCAGTTGAAGCAAACTAATTTCTGAATACTATCCATAGTCCCATATTTAATAAAATACAACGTTTCGGAGATTGTAATCTATCTCCCTCTTCAGGCCTCTGATGGAGGCAGAAACGTCGGTAAACTTCTACCAGACTGTATGCTGCAAATAACCGAGAAGACAGCCGTCTTTAGACTCACGGCCGTGAAAACCCTAAATCCTACAGGGCAGAATTATTGCTGAGGATCTAATAGTCGCTCATCTGCTTAAGAAATTATCTTTATTTTATTTAACATGAATGTTAATTACCACATTTTCAAGACCCTGCCATTTGACCCTATTCTGAGGCAGAATAATCAAGTCTGTACGCAGTTACATATATTTTTCTTTTAATTTCCTTTCGTCTAAGTGAGTGAAATTTTCATACTGATATTATTCACTAAAAATTACAAATTTTGTTTTGAAATTTCTCCATTTTACTGTTACTTTCCGTCTCTTGTAATTATATATTATTCTCAGCATTTTGTTTTCAATAATCCTTAAACTGTGCCCAACACTTAGAATGAGAGGCCGTGCACTGTAAGACAGTCACTTTGATATTTTAATTTTTAAATAAGAGTCTGAAAAATAAGAGACTTTTAGCTGAATTTTAGAATGTACTGCCAAACTTTAATCTGTTTCTAACATATTTTTAACTTTCGTTGTAATCACAGTCGTTACAAAATTCTTGAAACCCCCAACATTTATGAAGTATTTATGAAGACTGCTGTTTTCTGAGTTGTAGCGTAGTCTAGTTCATCATCCTGATAATGGAGGCAGAAATAACGTCTGAAACAGTGGTAAACTTCTACCAGACTACATGGCGCTATAACCCACAAAATTGTCATCATCGTGAGAATGTCAAATCCCACTTGAAGTATTTATAATTGGTCTTTTTGTAATCACTGTCCAGCATTTTGGCGACGAATTACCAACACACCAGACTACGTAGCGTTTAATACAGTTTCTTCTATTTTAAGTAATTCTTGTTTCCGTCCCACCAATTATCACCAACATCCTAGACCAGAATATGACTAAGGTTATGTTCGTTGCATTATTTATGCCTCACCTTAAATAGGCTTTTCTCGAGTCTGATGGCAGTGGATCTCAAAGCAACGCATATGAAATACCAGAAGAGACCAGTGAGGTTACTGAAAGTAGCGAGATACGAGTAGAGGAATACTTCAGGCACAGTGTTGTTTGACGATGTTGTGAAGAAGTAGCTAACCAGAATGCTGACTGGAGACAGAGCCACGGCAAAGAAGACTATCACGAGACAATGGAACTTCAGTGGGATAACCAAGCTTCCTCCAGTACCCTGAAGATAAAGATTCTGGAAGAAGAAAAGAGAACAATAGTTGCCTACATGCTTCTTAGTACTTCAATCGAGTGCTCAAATATTTTTGAATGTTCTTCTACATTATTTAATGTACGCATGTTAAAAAAAAATAACACTTGAAATGGAACTTAATCGGCAAGAATATGATTTATTTTGAAATTCTCAATAATTCGGACAGTAAATATTTATAAGTCATTTGTAAATAATATGAATTTTCTGTTATTTTCAATGACATGCGTGCATAGTAATGTTATGTAATAAGTACTTTTACTAATTTTTCTCCTTCAATGGACTCGATGCTATAAAGTCTAAGCGACTTGCAGCGTCGTTAAATAAATCATAAATAAACAAATGTTCTAAATGTTTTAACCTGGAAGTGAATCCAGTTGTTCATGTAATTGGCCATCCTGTTAGCTTTCCTCCAGTGAGTGAATGGTAAATAGGCGAGGGGCACAAGATATACAAATAACATATAAGCGTCAACGGAATCCTCGAAACGGCCGTTAGCTTTCCTGATAGCCTGCATTCGATTGTCGTTGGTGAACCAGACGGCGAAACACAGCAACAAGTAGACGCACACCGAGTACAGTATCTCAAGGGACAGCCATGAGAAAACCACGATACCTGAAAGACAAGAGGCACTTGGCTGGGTAATACAGATTAAGTGTAGTATCTTACTCATGCGTTGGCATACACCCACATACCTAAACTATTCAGAAATGAGGTAGATACGCGTACATTACACAATTTTATATAAAAACGTACTGGTTTTGGTGTCTTGCGAACACGGTGGAGTTTTCGACTTTTTTAAAAAGCGGGAAATTTCTTTATGAGATAACATATTGAATACGTTATCAAGAAACACTGTGCTCCATAGATTAAAGAACATGATATTTAGACGATGGTGGTTCAACTTCCTTCTTCCCTCGGTCCAATAAACCTCTTTTAACTTTTGTCTAATACTAGTAGCCAATTTTAGTTATATTCAATAATACTCGTTCATAAATGACTAATTACCACAGTATTTGCTCAAATACAGGATTATTGAATTGTACTATAGTGTTACGTACCATTTTAAATTTGCTCTTCCAGCAGCTGGCACACTTTATACCTGGATTAATCACGTTTTACAGTAGGGTTTTAAAGTCAATAGCCCATGTAGTAATTGCACGTAATGCGGCAGACGAAATTAAAATCCACCTTTTTTAAACTCTTCCAAATAAATGAATTGAAGAAATTTATAGTAATTAGTAACACATTAAATAATTTCTAGAACCTGATCTGAAGTGTCCAGCAGGTGACCAGTTCGATAACGCTGACGTACGCGAAAATAAAGTTAACACACTTTTGCTTATAGGATGTATACTTGGAAGACCATGGTGTAGAGGGGAGGAAACTGCTATGATTTTGAAGGTCACTGATTCAGGCGAGAGGACTCAGATGAGGGACATGGAGGGTACTGGTTTTCATTTCGCCAGAATAAGATATAAAGATAAGTCCTATTTATATTATCTCAGGTTAGACAGTAAGACTACTGTAAATATCGTTACCTTTGTTTGTGACACGTACGGGGCAGACGCCCATCGCACGCATAACAAAAATAAAGGGCTTCAGATTGTCAACGAAGGGGTTTAACTCGATTCTGAAGTGTCGTTGGGTGTCGGTTGCCTGAACTGTGAAGACACCTGGCAGCGTTCTGTTTTCCTGATTTCTTACCGCCGAGATTGACTTCTCGTGTTTGAACAGACCAGGAATGTTGCTAGTTAACATTCGTACTGCATTCATTTTCCCTTTTATTTTAAATATAGTTTGCACTTCAGGGGTCAAAAATGATCACAGACACTTTAATCTTCAAGTACAAGCAGTGTAGACGTAATAACAATTGGAGAAACCATACTGGAAAGACACAAGGTATATTTTCATTTTAATTTATCATACACTACAGTAGATATGAATGAGCCAGGATAGCTCAGTCAGTATAGTGACTAGCTACGGGCTGGACGACCGGGGTTCGATCCCCGACGGAGGCAGGGGGTT